TAAACAAGCGTAGGATTAGCCAATGTTCTTTATGTCTGGACCAAAGGGTGAATAATATGTATGCTCTTATTTGGCACAACACAATTTGAACTGATTCACTTTATCCATTCACTATAATTTCTTGACAAGAAGAAGAATGTTTTCTTATATATTGAATATCACATTAAAAATTTTATTAGTATAATTAGTTATTTAAGAGTTATTAAAATTATATATTTATTTCAATTGTCTATGACTGATAGATAAGCAATTTGAATTCCATTGTTGCGATTAAGTATTGCTTTTCTAAAATCTTAGTTCGTAGTTCTAATATTACTCCATGGGATCGATATCTAGGACTCCATTAGAGCCCTATATTACTTGAGCGATACGTATACTTACGTTGATAAGTATGACTTTACAATTATTGAATATTTTATACATACATCTTTATCGAATCTATAACTGTTATTAAGTTTTTGGTGCATTTGTTGAGGAATTAAATCTTTTAGCAGCAGTATTAAATACTTATATTTTTAAGCATATATAAAGCCGCTGTCAATCATCTTAAAATATAAGAGCTCAACTTAAAAAATGAGAATATGTTAATCTTTTTATAAAATTTGTTAAAAAAAAATTAAAACAAGATACGAGAACAAAATTTGATAGAGTAAGATGGTTAATTGCATTAAAAATATAGCTATAAAAATTTTAGGAATTTAAAAATATAATATATGCTAATAAGATTACATCAAGCATTGATATTAAGTCTCTTTTTCTTAATGAAAATTAGGTTTTTCAAATGAGATATCTGTGTAAGCCATTTGCATAGCAATTTAATAGGTGATATTTCTATTGAAATGTGTAAGAAGTTTGAAGAATGAAAAAGATTTATGGAAGATGAGGGTGTTTGGAATCAGAGAACAAAGTGTAGGCATGTGATAGTAATTTTAGGGTTTGTAAAATTAACAATTATCAATTAACATTAATGTAAATTGTAATATTATGTGATATTAAAGTTTGATAGTTTAAGTATTCCCATCAATTACATAAAATCATGTATATATAAATGAAGAAGCTAACTGGCACATAGAAAAAGTAACCAGCGGGAATTTAGCAAGTGATATGCCATTAATATGGAAAAGAACCGAGTAACAATAGATCTATGAAGCATGAGCGCAGCAACATGAATATGACACAGCCCGGACTTGGTGACATAGTATTACTATAAAAAAATAAGATGGCATGCCACGGACATAAAGTTATATTATATAACTGTTGGTATAGAATATTTACTTCGAGTATTAATATAAAATAGTTTAAACCATCCAAGTGTATATATTAATCGAAGTTTAGCCACAAAAAAAAAACCCCAAATTGCTAACTTTGAAATATGAATCACACCAGAATAACAATTAGAAAATATATTTGGCTTTAATTTGGAAAAACGGTAAAAATACAAATTTTAAAATGTACATGAAAAAATAATTCATTAAAAATATGTCAGTTTTCCCCATTCTATTTGGTACATAAACAGTTGGAACAAAGAAAAAACATAAACATGTCAAATTAAGGCAGCTAAACCAATTAGAACACAAACAATGCTATGGCCAATATTTAAATTCGTAATTGGACTAGAAAAAGTGTTAAAATGACCTGCTCAACAAGTTTTATTTTCTCAAGCAGACTTGGCTCAGAGCTGATTAAACAAAGTCTAAGGCGAGTGCATAGAAAACACAGACCAAACCAAAAGAGAAGACATGCAAGACGCACGCAAAGCTTGCGACGTGTGCGGTTTCTATAAATAGATCATCGAAGGGGACAGAAGCGGTTGACAAACAACAATAGCGCTCATCCAAGTTATAGTGTCTTGTTCATTAAAGAAGATATGGAAAGATGATGCACTTTGACGCTCCATCTCACAAGTGGCAGAAGATGTGAGCAGACAACGAGCTTCAATGCTATATCTTACTTGTGAAAAAAGCACAGAGATGATGTGAAGAGAAAGATAGGGCATGCAGATATGGATAACTAACATGAGTGGAGCACACGGGAGAGATTATTTCACTAAGGCGAGCCTAACGTGTCTACTCCGTATCAGAATCCAGGTTTAACAAGAAATGACTGACATAATTTTAAAAGTGTATCATGTGTTAACTCATGTTGGACACATATATGACACCGACACGAAAGGAATGCTAAAGTTTTCATGCTTCACAGTTGTAAATATAAAAACAACATACACAAGGTAAAACTTTAGAAACATGTAGAGGAATTAGTATAGCAGTCATAAGTAATTAGCACTTCATATTATTGTAGTGAAACAAAGCTCCTAAAATTGGTCATAGGAATTTAATGGACTAAGCTAAAATCACTCTAAGGTTAGATCTAATATACCTTTCAAAATACTAGAATAGTTTAGGAATCAACATTATAAGCAAGCTTTACAAAAAATAATTAAAAGAAAGAAGTAAAATGATACAAGTCATAAAAATTATTACTTAATAGGTTAGTAATGTGGGTATCCTTTCAAATTTCTAACAAAACACAGCCTTCTTGAAATTTCTATCTTTAACAAATTGAGCATTTAATATTAGTCAAAGTAGTTATGGACATAATTGTTATGCTCATGATAGTGTAATCTATAAATCATCAAATGATGACTTATCATGCCAATGTATAAGATACTTCTAATACCATCATCAGCAATTGTCAATATTATTATTCATAATAGCTTCAATAAGCTGAATAGATTTATCCGATAAGGTGCTTGACGTGAATTTGCAACAAAAAAAACAACAACAGGAAGCCTTTATCCTATCAAGTAGGATCAACCACATGAATCATTTTTCTCCATTGTCCTATTGAATGTGAATTTGTAAGGGGAGGAAAAAAAAGAGAAATGTGCAAACAACAAGTTCATGAAATAAAATCAAATCAAATATATTGAAGGTAAGAATTATACAAGTACTTAGCTAAATTTTCAATTCGCAAGTGTTAGTCTAAATATGCAGCAAAATTTAAGATGATTCCACCTATCTTGCAATTAATTTATTAAAGGCTCCGGTAGAACACATCTCCAAAAGCAGATGCAACATTATCTTATCTCCTATTTTGAATTATGCATATATTATGCTTACATCAATGGTAGATTTATAAATGATATAATTAATCATTAGTTTCGAGTGAATAACTTCATATTGATCATGCATATACCATGCGAACGATTCTAAAAATTCATTTGGTCAAGATTCGAAAGAAGTTTAGCAATCAAGGTTGATAATTTGTGAAAATTTAAAATGATATCATGCTTATAGACATATTAACGAATCTATATGCAAACTTGGATATTAGTAGCATCAAATACAACTCATATATGTGCTCTATAGTCAAAAAAACATAATAACATGCAGACTCCTCTTAACTACTTCAATTTGGCCATCGATATGTAAGTTATAGGCATTTGAAAATTTACTTGGGATCATTAATTGACATAGAGTACTACAAAAAAAAACACACATAATTTCTAAATGTATAACAATTATCTTAGAAAACCCATGCAGCTTAATCACTTCATTAAAAGGCACTTTTGCCATGAGGGATACATGAAAGAAAATGAGCCTTGAAAAGTAATAAACCACTACAAAGAATTGTGTTTAGTTATGTTCATGATAATCCTAATACAAAATTCAAGCTATCATCCTTCCTAGGGTTTAAATGAAATTGGTAAAGTTATATAAAACCCAATATAGTGTCATTTTCATCGTAATTGTTTGACATTTTCTACGTTGTGATATGATGTGCACAATATATCATTTTTAAACCCAGTTAATATCATCTATCTAGAGTCATTGCCACATTTTATCACATACAAAATGTCTTACAGAACCTCTGGCATATAGTTCCAATAAAAGAGAATTTTATAAATATGAATCAAGGAATTAAACTCGAATTCCTTCCAAAAAAAACATTACCATTAATCATGAAATCCTTATTAAGCATAGGTGAGGTGCCAACTAAATTGTTAAGTAATTCATTCAAATTCATTCGATTTGTCTAGTTCTTCATAATGCTCTTGAAACTCATAACCTTAAATTATATCGTGAGCAAATTGATAGCCACCCTACATAAGGTGTCTATGAATATATTCCAATGTGATGTTTTAACATAACATATATTCCTGTTAAAATTGAACATATTTGGAAATTCTATGACTTAGTTTCTCTTACAAGTTCAAAAATGTAAAAGCCTAAAGATTTGAACATAGAATAAATTACTTGGATGATAAATAATGTCTCCAATATTGAAGTTAATGAACATCAATATAAAACATTCTATCATAATTAGAATACTCTTATTTTCCTCATTTAATGTTTTACTAAAATAACCATTGGGTGTCCATTCCAACTTAATTTCCTATAAATATATACAACAAATAAAATCTCAAAATCTTTATTAAAATTCAAACAGTCAAAATCTTAACTAATACGCATTAGTAAGTGCCTAATTGATGCCATTAAAAACGTTTTCAAAACAATTCATCCATTTGAATTCTCCATTTTTAAGATGACTAGTGATTTAAAATACTAAATATTTGATAAATCAACAATACAAGATAGCCAAATTATGTCAACTCTAAATATCATGGATATTAATAGATGACCAATTTCTAATTGCTTTAAACATGTCCAGATCAACAAATAATCCTTCAACAGCACTACAAGCCCCAAAAATATATGGATAAAATGACAAAGCAGCATTTTTTTCAAATTCAAATATAACTTTTTGAATTGTAACTTTTGAAAGATTTTCTGAAAATGTATTGAATGTGCATTCCTTGATTTCCTATGAATCTAATTATCCTCAAAGCATAAGACCTGAAAATTTTCAGTAAAAGTTCTCAAAACATAATTCATAATCCTCATGAACACACTTAGGGTATTCTTTAATATTAGGTATCATTAGCCATTAATATAAACCATCATTTGCCTCAAATTTTATTTTCCACCCATTTTGTCCAACCTTCCTAAGCAATAAACAACTTATCGAATAAATTTTCTAGAAAAACATATCATCAGTCATAATGTAAAGCACATCATCTAATATTGATATTAAAATTTGATGCTTAACTATTATCTAATTAATTGTTTGATTATCTACGCACATTCTTCAATTTCATCTTTTTTAGGAGTGAAGCAGGCGCTACTCAAGGACTAGTGCTTTCCCTAATAATTCAAAATGTTCAATAGTGGTCATCCCATAATGTAAAGCCCTTTTTTTTATTTTAAAAAAAGTTGAATGAACCAGCTAGCACCAGTTCAATTGAACCAGTGCAAACAAGGCAAGGGGATCCATGCGGCAAACTGAGAGCAAAAGAGGTGAGCAAACTAAAGCAATGAGTGAGTTTGGGAAGGTGAGGTCTGGTCAAGCACTAACACCATAGCCTCATTAGGAAGCTGGCAGGCCTGAATAAAAAAGCCAGAAAGAGAAGATACCAGCCAACAAGTTGAGCGGGTGTGGGAATAAAAAATCTTACTGGTCCATGTAAGAACCCATTTATTTCCAGCAAAAGTCACCTGGTTCAGCGCCACAAAAAAAGATGTCAAGGAAGAGAGATGCAGCCAAAAAAAGCTTGAAATTGGCTGACCCTACGAACATAGAGGATAGAATAAGAGCAACATAGCACTGGAAATTGGTTTTGGCACAGGGAACAAGCAATAAGGGTTTATGGACATAGAAAAATGAACTGAGAATGATTCCACATACAAAACTTTTCTAGCTAAATCAATCATAACACAATTTAAAGTGACCTGAGCATCAATGTTGCACAAACGGCAATCAATGTCACTATGCAGAGCTGAAGTAGTCTACCATGTTATGATATATCTTCCTAACACCAATATGCATGGAAAGGTTCAATCAACCAAAACAATAGCAGCTAGCTCTAAAACAAATACTTTTGCGTGTTTTTAGTAACATTTCTCCGAGGTGCAGTCAACATATTGGAGGCAAATAAAAAATTTACAAATCATAGAAAATAAAACCCTTAATTGTAAAGCTAAAGAGGCGATGAGTAGAGAAAACAGAAGAAACAAAATATAGTTCCCAGTACATGCCAAAAGTAACTAACCTGTAAGCCAAGAGTGTCTTCCAGAGAAGGAAGGTATTCAGCCATACACCTATATATTTGAAAAAATATAGAAGTTCGTGAATAAAAAAAGCCAATGACAGTGAAGGAGTTAGTCACAAAACTTCATAGAAGAGTGCACAAAATGTTTGATTAATAGAAGCATTTAGCCTGAGAAAATGGCTTACATTCCATCAACCCAAGAAGGAAGCTTTACATCATCAACTGACAATAAGTCCTTCAACTGTGAAGTAGACACAAGCTTTATGCGTGGTGCAGGAGCAATAGAATAACTTCTAGAAACAGGAAACACAACCTGCATGATTAATGCTATAAGAATACCAAAAGAAATGATAACATCAATAAATCAGATAAAAAAAGGATGAGAACTGTCGGTAAGAACTAATCATCATAATAGTCTTATTCCAATTATTTAAGGAAGGTTTTAAGAATTCTCATTCTTCATTCATCCCTGATGAGTGTTGCATTAAATTTGTTATCCATTCCTAGCAAATATTTTCCCACTTCTATCGTAAGTACGTTCAATCTAAATTTATTACTCATAATCCTTTCATATTAATTTTATGTGTCCATTGTATTGATGCATCTTCTACCCTTTATCGTGGATGTTGAAACCACCTATGTTCATTATTCAATATCATATTATGAATACATGTTACTCTCACCCGACCTATAATAAAATCATTTATTAATATATTCTTTGTAATTTTACCACACATTCATCTTAGCATAATAATTTCTACCACATTAAACTTATTTATCTATAACCTCCTTTCTTGACTAAACTCAGAATTAGAAAATATAGTTGGCCTATTTGAAAGCTTTTTTTTTTTTTTTTCATTTGCATTCTAATCTTAATGACATTCTTTTGTCGCATAGTACCACCAAGTAGAAGTGTAAACGAGTCGAGCTAGAGCCATGATAAACTCCAACTTAGCTCGTTTGTCAAATTGTGAGCTTAAGCTCAAGTCAAACTCGAATGGCAATCTCGAGCTCGGCTTACAAGCTCGAAATAAAAATTCATTTTTTTTACGGGAGCTCCCAGAAGAAGGTATTGGTGGCCGGAGGAGAAGGAGGATGCAGTAGCAGCTCACCGAAAAATGTATCAAAATGAGTAATTGTAGGCTAATTGAGCCTACTAGCGAGCCAATGAACCGAGTTGGGACAAACTCGAATTCAAGCTCATTTAATAAAGGAGTTCAAGCTCGTTTAATAAAAGAGCTCAATTTTAGTTCGAGCTTGAGCTAGTGGCTCGATAAGCTCGGTTCGTGAACTCGTTGAAGAGCCGAGCATCAAGTCATAATTTGGGAAATTACATCTACAGCTATATCCTCAATCTAACCTATAATAAATCCAAAATACATAATCTATCACAATTAAGCGTCACTCTATCTCCTAATAATGGTAGACTTTTGTTCTACTAAACTTAAGCCCTCTATTAAATAAATTCTCTTTTATTTTAATTTTCATTATTTAAAACTAAATTAAAAAGTGCTGCTGAATTAAAAGGACAAAATAAGATAAAAAAATCAGCATCAAGTCCTTTCTAATAATTGTTTGAACTATTTTGAAATCACCATTAGATATTTGCCAATTCCAAGTTGGATTTATGAACCCTTCCTCAAAATTTTTCCCTAATGAGAAGAGCATCAAGTGTCGGTAGATAAATCCAACTTTAAGAGTGTGCAATAAAATAAGCAATAATCCAAAGAAAGATAAAGAAGCGGGCAGTCCATAATGAGCTAACAAGCTGGTTTGATTTGGAATTAGAGGAGTGTAATTAACCTTGTAAATAAATATGGCATAAATACCAAATTCTAATTCTAAGCATTTCTGTGGTCACAAGTCATTATTTGGTGTTCATTGTTATTCCACCTTACCTATCCTCTTTCCCATATACTGCCCTCAACAACCTCCTTTGTTCACTAATAAAAACATGTTAAAGCGTATGAATCCCTTCATAGACACTGTTTACTTCTATTTCTCCATTTCCTTGCTCTTTTTTTTTTCGATTTAAAAGTCTACAACATCAGAGTTTATTAATGTGTAGGCAAGGTTGAACCCAAATCCTTGGCAACAACTTCCAAAACTCTTACCAACCGGACAAATTGGTGCCCACAAAATTAGAAAGCCAAGAGGAAATATATAAGTTCTAATTCCTCAATTGTTTTCCACTTTTCCTACCTCCACCTCTTCCTTGCAATAGCCACCTACCCCAATTTGTGTGCTCTCTTCATTCCACTCATCCCTCTTTCCTAGTGATCTACTAGCTAGGCGTGCGGATGAGTCAAGTCGTCTCGAACTCGACTTACTAATGAGCTTACGAGTCAAGCTTATTGAGTCACGAGCTTGAGCTCAAACTCAAGCTTGTATATTAAATGAGATCAAGTTTGAACTTAAATAAAACTCAGCTTGTGAGCTTGCAAGTTTACTCGGTAAAATTAAATATTTGGAATTAAGATTTAATAAACTAAATAAAAAAAAAATTTTAGCATATGTCGAAATAGAGTAGTTTGAAATTATTTAAAAAAAGGGAAAGGTGAGTTGCAGCAGCAATAAATATAGTAATAAATTAAAAGCACATAAAATACTCATTGTTTATTTAACTCTCTTTTGTTGGCATGATTCATGAGCAGCAAGCTCCCTTCAAGAAGCTACCACTATCGATCTCAACGATGCCTTCTTCTCCAGTAGCTACTTCCTCCGATAACCCAGCTTCGACCAAGTGTTTCTTGAGTCGGGCTCTTGAGCTAAGCCAAGATCGAGCTCATAATTGAAGCTCTACACAAGCTTGAGCTCTAGCTCGAGCTTCTTGTTTCACAGAGGAGTCGAGCTCGAGTTCACTATGACTTAAGCTCGACTCGGCTTGTTTACACGCCTACTATTAGCTTATTCAATGAGTAATAATGTATAACAATAACAACAATGGAAATGATTAGATCTTATTATTCATTCAAGATAAATACAGGTGGCCATATACAAGCAGATACAATGAACAAAACATGAAGAAAATAGCAAAGGAGATATTTTTCAATGGGATATAGAAAATAAAAGCAAATAGAGTAAACTAATAGGTTTTTAATTTTAAAAAATATCTTACTATTTGCTCTTCATAAAAATATGGTTAAACTAGCCTATATTTTAAAACTAGTGTAAGATATTTCTATAGTTAACAGTCCCAGAGCCTCTCGTAAAAATATAGACTAGTTGTCCTTCATTAGAGTAGAGAAGACTACAGATTTTCTCTGCTAGGACACATATCTAATAAAGATACAATCAATATCAATTTGGTTTATTCTTTTATAAAGGATAGGATTTCTAAAAAAGTAAATTGAGATATGATCGTCACATTTAAAAATCATGAATTGTGTCAAATAGAAATTAAATTCTTCTATTAGAGTTTTGATCCATATTACTTTGTAATCGAAGAGAGCATGGCTCTGTATTCAATATCAATGTTGGACCTAGTAAAATCAATTTCCTTAAATCTAAGAAACAAGATTACCTACCCTAAAAACATAATATTATAAAGCAAACTTTCACTCATAATTGGATCTAGCAGAGTGGGATTCAGAATAAGCTTCAAACTTTAATTTTTTTTTTTTTTTACACAAACTGAAACCTTTTATAGCTTCAAACTTTAATTTTTTTTTTTTTTTACAAACTGAAACCTTTTATAGCGATATTTGATACATTTTAAATTATTCAAATGACATCTCAATGTTTCTTCTTCAGGTTATGTTCATGCTGAATAACTAAAATGATAACAAAAAGATATAGCATAACTAGTGACAATTAGATAAATAAGTTTGCTAACCTGATATCAAAAGTGAGAAGTATCTTCAAAGTTTTCATCATCATTGGATATCTACAAGATATCCATTGGAGAGTCAGTTTGTATTTGAGACACCCAATTTACTCTAGTAGACATAGCATAATTTTTTAGAGCGAGATAAATATCTTATTAACTATAAACAAACTGCTAAGAATTTATTTTAGATGTCCCAATTTTTTGGTGGAAATTATCTATTAAAAGTGTTGTGGAAAACGTCTACTAAAGATGATTTATATCCTCAATGCTAGAAGCAACATTACCCAAGAGAGGAATGCCACCAATAGACATGTGAAGATTATTGTACTAAAGGATGAGTTGTGAAAAAAGATAAAGTTATCAGCCAAATTCTGAAGACAAATATCAACAGAGACCTTGTAGAGTTTATCAAACCAAGCATGGAATTTTATTTTAACCCATATATAACTTTTTGAAGCTTACATACATGTTTTCCCAAGGAGCAGCATATCTCAATGTTTGCTCCATCTAAACAACTTTGAATAGTTCTCCATAAATAAAAGTATTGCTAATATCAATTTATGACAAGATCCACTTTTGATTGATGGTCGCAGAGAGAAGAAAACATAAACTACGGACTGTCTCCAAGTAGTCATTGCCATGAATTTATGTATAGCTTTCAGTCACTAAGTGAAAGCCGAAGACACATATAGATGAAATTTAATAATGAAAACTCAACAGCATGAAACAAGATTAACTTTAAAAGGGATTAAACAAAATGTTAGGTATGGCAATCAAAAAGAACCTCACTCTAATATTCATTGTACACCTCAAGTGAGGATAGAAGTGCTACCTAATCACTCCCAAAAATAGAGATAGTAGAGAGAGAGATGGAAAACTAAAAAAATAATGAAAAATCAAATGGCATAAAATACTGTATTGGATAACTGAAAAAAAGAGAATTTCAATAATTAAATAATATAAAAGTGTATTGGATGATCAGTATAGCCCGGTCAACTGTTTTTTAATGCAATTGGGAGATGTATATGTAAAGCCCCTAGTGCCATGCCACAACCCAATACAACTCTTCCACTAAAAAACCACATTAATTTGGGATGCAGCAAAAACAAGAACCGCTATCTGATCATTCAGTAAGTTTTCAATTCAAAACATTCATAATAAGTTACACTCAAACATCTAGGATCTATTAAAGATAATCTTTCTAAATTTACACATACACACAAAGCCACTAAATTCATTAATTATCATTAATTATGAAAATAAAAGAACACTAACTTTTATTAACATGACTACATTGTCTACATTCAAAAGAATCATGTATAATAATCATAATCATGTATCAGTTTACCCCATTGAAGGTTTAAAAGGACTCCTGCTTTTATATCATTTACATCAAAATAGTAATATCAAAATTGTATCATGTATTCAACCAGCTTTTATATATAGAGCGCTCCTTGCTCCTCTAAAATCAATAATGCAAGCAA